ACAGTATGGAACAAAATATCAGGAATCACCGGTAAAAAAGTAAGACAAAATATACCTCTATTAAACTATAAAACAGAAACAGCCCTAAATAATACGCACAAAGCAAACCTGTTAGGCCAGACTTACGCGGATGGCTCAAGCAACAGCCAACACAACGAAACTTTTAAGGCCATTAAAAACAAATTTTTAAAAACCAAACCGCCAATAATACACCAAGATGCGGATAACGAAACAGATCTCAATAATCCTATTAATATAGATGAGTTGAAAAAAGCTCTACGGACTAAAACCGACAGTGCAGAAGGGCTAGACTGTGTAAAATACACAATGCTGAAAAATCTACCCGAGAAAGCACTGGCGTTAGTCCTTGATATCTTTAAACTCTCATGGTCGAAGGGAAAAACTCCACAAGAATGGAAAACTGCCTCAGTAATTCCCCTACATAAGCCCAATAAAGACAAAAACGAAACAACGTCGTATCGCCCAGTCAGTCTAACATCCACTTTATGTAAAACACTAGAAACAATAATTACAAACAGACTAAAATTCCACTGTGAAAGCAACAACATCTTCACAAAACAACAAAGTGGCTATCGTTCCGACAGGTCGACAGCAGACCATATCATTAGATTACAACATGACATATCAAAAGCTTTCACAGCTAAACAATATCTATGCGCGATTTTTGTTGATTTAACAAAGGCCTTTGACCTTGTATGGGTGGATGGTCTCTTGCACAAACTCCATAACGCGAAAATAAAAGGCAGAATGTACAAGTGGATAGAAGACTTTCTAAACGATAGGCACATTAGAGTACGTGTAGGTAATTGCTTAAGTGAAAAATTCAAAATGGAAAACGGAACGCCGCAAGGATCCGTTATCAGCCCAATACTATTTAACATAATGATAAATGACCTTCCTAGCTACGGGGGGAAGGGCACTGAATCCGCACTATTTGCTGACGACAGCTCGTTCTGGAAAGCTTCAAATAACATAGGCATAATCAAAAAATCGCTTCAATATACCCTAAAACAAATCTCAAAGTGGGCAGACGATTGGGGTTTTAAAATCTCAGAAGGGAAAACAGTAGCAATGCTGTTTCACCCGACTGACACTAACAGGAAAATTGACTTAAATCTTAACGGCTCAAAAATTGAATTTAAATCAGAAGCCAAATTTTTAGGAATGATATTTGATTCAAAACTTTCTTGGAAAGCACATATAGATAGCGTAGTAAGTCGCACATCAAAAACTCTCAATTTAATGAAATACATCAGAGGAATGGAATGGGGCGCAAACAGAAGTACTCTTATGCTAATATACAGAGCACTCATCCGCTCGGTAATCGACTACGGATGTCTAGCTTATGCAAATGCAAGTGATGCACAGCTCAATAAATTAAACATAATACAATGGAAGGCATTAAGACTAGCCACAAGAGCCGCAATAGGAACCAAAACAGTTGCCCTTCTACAAGAGATGGGAGAACTCCCGCTTGATCTTAGACGAGAGGAACTGTCACTCAAGTACTGGGGCAAACTGCAAATGCTAAAAGAAAAATGTCCGACATATAAGTGCCTCCAACAATTCAAACGTATAGGCTATAGGAAAAATACGCGTCCTATGACATTCGGGCAAATGTCAAACGATATCTTAAATAAACACGGTTTAAAAGGGACAATAATAGAAACAAAAACTTATCCCGTCACCCCACCCTGGCAATTAAGCAATCCAATCATCAATACGCACCTAATCAACGTTACAAACAAACACGCTAATCCCATAGAGGCTAGAGCACTAACACTAGAGCTGATAGACAAAAAATGGGCAGACTTTATTAAAATCTATACAGATGGGTCGAAAAATAATACACAGGGACTAACAGGGTACGGCATCTTCATCCCCAAAGCAAAGCTAAACATCAAGAAAAGGATACCAGAACATTGCTCTGTGTACACCGCAGAATTGATGGCCATTAAAACTGCAATAGAATGGCTTGCCACCCAAAAACACCAAAAAGCCGTTATCCTATCAGACTCACTAAGTAGCATTAAATCCATCGAATCAGACTATTCCAAAAGCAGACAGGACATAATCCACCAAATTAGGGATATTATTCAAACAATCAAAAATAACGGAAGGTGGTAGTCCTTGCATGGATCCCCCCCACATCAATATCTTCGGCAATGAACAGGCTGACAAGCTAGCCAAGGAAGGGTTGGCATTAACTGATATAGAAAATTTAGAATACAGCAGTCAAGAATTCACAAGCATAGCCAAAGATAAAATTAAAAATGCATGGAAAACCCGTCTAAAACAAGAGAATACTCATCGCTATCAAATTGATAGCAATCTTGTAGACAAGGTTTACACCAATCATCCATCAATCAAAATATGCAAACTCATCACGAGGCTTAAAACGATAAACGTAATAAAAGACTTCACCTCTAATCCAATTAAATGCCCATGTGGACAAATCGCGACCACGTCTCACCTGCTAATTGACTGCAATCAATTGAACAAAGAACGTCAATCTGTAATTAAGAATCTAGCAGAGAGGGGAAACACCCTCTGTCTCAAATCACTCCTTTCACCACAAGCCGACGATAGACACTGGACATCACAACTTGTCTGGGATTTTATTGAGAACATAGGGATGACCAAATATATAAAATAATGAATTTAATCAATTAACAGTAGGGTGGAGCGCAAAAATGTCCTCTAGAAGGAAGCGTAAACCGCCCTACACAACTAATATAACTCCGATATAATTAATAAATCAACTAATAAAACCAACCAACTAACAGTAGGATGGAGCGCAAAAATGTCCTCTAGAAGGAAGCGTAAACCGCCTTACACAACTAATATAACTCCGATAAAATTAATAAATCAACTAAAACCAATTAATTAACAGTAGGGTGGAGCGCAAAAATGTCCTCTAGAAGGAAGCGTAAACCTCCCTACATTTATAATAAAACCACTAATCTACCAACAAATAAAACCAATTAATTAGCAGTAGGGTGGAGCGCAAAAATGTCCTCTAGAAGGAAGCGTAAACCTCCCTACATTTATAATAAAACCACTAATCTACCATTAATATAATTCATGAGTAATTTATTATTCTCATTATTACCATTAATATAATTCATGAGTAATTTATTATTCTCATTATTACCATTAATATAATTCATGAGTAATTTATTATTCTTACTATTTATCTGCAATTCAGTTAACACTCTATTTTCTTCTACTCTCACTTATTATTTTTATTATTAGTTTATAATGATTCCCCGCCCCCCCCCCCCCCACGAAGCCTTACTAGACAAAATAACCATAAAACCACAGTAAGATCAGATACTCTCTTTTCTCTAGCTTTCTTTTTCAGGTGCTGGATTCTTCCTTCAGAGAACCACCAATAAAAGGAATGAATAACATAAATAAAGATGTAACAACGCCACCATACCGGACAACATACCCAAATGGAAGGAAGAATGGACCAGGACTCATACTCACCAACAAAGCCCCAAGGTAGTGTTGCACCGCCCTGCCATTCTACCGGACAGAACGACCAGACCAACCGAAACGACCCAATATATATATATATATGTACATAATATGTCTATGTCTGTGAAAATGTCCGTCTTTGTCCATGTCTGTTCCGTCAAATCGCATGCTTGTGAATGTCTACTGGCACCTGTTTCGTCCTTTGCACATGTTATCCTACTGTTGTTTATTGTCCTATGTACATATATATGAAAACCTAATTATCCTATTATTTCTCACTAATCACATTGTAAATTAATGCACCTTGTACACATAACACGTCATTGTCTGCGATATCACCTCGGTGGAAGCGGACGTAAAATACAACTAACTCATCACGTAACGACAATATTGCCACAGCCATCATTATGTATCACCACTGAACGGTGACATGATTACCATAAATATGAGTGCAGTGCAGTGCTGTACTTTTAAATGTTACATTGACATATCTTTGTTTGCTTCGTGTATTACTTGTTTTCATGGAGGGTAGAGGGGGGAGGGCACTAGTCAGGGTTTAATTTTATTATACCATGACATCATGTACAAACCAACCATTTCCTTGCCAATATTTCTATTTTACGGTTGCCAAAGATACTGTAATTTAATCGTCGGCGATGAAATAACAGCAATTAACACAATTCAAACTCTTTATACATGACATTGAACCGGCCCCTATAGTTGGGGGCAATACAATAACGCTGACCCACATGTTAGTGCGACTAAACTTTTCACACTTGTCAGCACAGCACAGTAGGGCCTGGATAATAGTAAAACAGAACTAGAACACACACGTGATTTCACGTCACTTCGAAGATACCGAAACAGTGTTCGGTGGGATCAGATTAAGATTTCAGTGTTCTACTCTTCACAATTTGTAACATAATTACTTATTTCCATGCAAACTGTGATGATATGTGTTGAAAATTGTGCATATGAACCTATTTTTACTAGCGCAAAGGCGTGTAGTCTGATATTTTAAGGCGATAGAGAAATTGGTTTAACGTCCACTCGACTCATGCTAAGTCACCCCGGGACCAACACATGGTTTAATTTTATTTCAATAATTCGCTTGCGCGTAGGGGTTTTTAGCGTGAAAGGAAACCGGAAGACCCGGAGAAAATCCATGAGGTTGGACACGTACAACCGGGGAATCGAAATCACGCCAGTTGACTCAATAATAGAGCGCACGCTCTAAACATTTGCCCCCCCCCCCCCCAGGAGGCTCAATGCAATAAAGGTGACTCGTCTGCTAGTGGAAAAGAACAGTAGATGGGTGCTCCCCGATTTTCACGTTTGTCAGTACTTTAATGCTTGCCTTATTAGGCGCAAAACAATAAGGGTGTCTCGCCTGCTAGTGGGAACGAACAATATAAGGGTGCGCCTCAGCTTTTCACACTTGTCAGCACAGTTAATGCTTGCCTTATAGTAGGCGCAATACAATAAATGTGACTCACCTGCTAGTGCAAACATACATGAGAAGAGTGCACCAAGCCATGAAATGGTTGAAACATCCACATCGGGAAATCTCTCCAAAAAAGCTATATGTAAAACTCCAACAGTAAAATTCAGTGCTGTGTTGAAAAAAAGGGCACATATTGATGCTGCGAGGACAACCCATGCCCATGGTTCAGTTTTTGTCATGGTCTTCTTATCTTCTTTCATCTATACCATATAAACTACAACTGTTCCTGTCGGCAACTTCTCAGTTATTGATAACAAGTAGACCCGATCATAAATATTTTATATCCAAACACAGACTATAAGTAAACAGCAACAAGATTCACTCATACATGAAGCAAAGCAATTTATGTAATACCAAATCACAATAAACTTGTGTAAAAAAAAAGGGAGTCGACGGGTATGTCGTTGTTATTATAATGAATTGCTACGCATAGTTCTTTCTGATCTTTTCTGTCACGGGAAAGTTTCCGTTAAATATAGGTCTATGGCGAAAAAGAATTACGACAGTGAATTCTTTTTTTATTTTATTATCAATCAGATTTCTATTATATTTTATTCGTATTGATATTGAGTAAGATGTGTGTACCTTAGTGAAAATAATATTGGTCCACCATAACATGAAGGAAGCAAAGTTTTACTAATTTGATCGGCAAAGTTCAACGGTAGCAATCTGTTTCACAGAGGATTACGAAAGTCTTCTTATTTCTCTGTAAAAGATGACTACCTTCAACACGTGATTTTTAATCACGCGGCGTCAATCATTGGCTCAATGGCGCGTGCATTGTTTACATAAGACCTTACTGGTTCGGGCGGAATGGAGCCTTTTACTCATTTTAATACCCATTTACACTAAATAGGAAATAATTTTTACCTACAAATACATCAAACGTCTTTATTTATTTTTCTAATACATAAAAACAATGTTTTAGAATTTAATTTGTCGGAGGAAAAAAGTTAATATTTGTGGTTCATTAAGTCGCATCGATGTCATCCTTATCAGTGATTGTCGCGGCCTAGCGAATATTCACTGCTGATCAGTGTGCAACGGTAGATACGTCAGCCATATCTTATTCTTTTTACGTCACAATTATCTCCTGTGGGGCTATAGCGCTTCAGTGCCTGTATTTATGGAAGTAGTTCTCAAGTCATTACAGTTTAACAATTAAACCCAAGGGCTAAATCGAATTCTGCATTTTTACCATCCATTCAGTGTATTCGAAGACCATATTTTCGATATGATAAGATTTGGTTCTAATTTTAGTTTTTTTATCCCAATGAATGATTGTGGTTACTCGATATCATAAGTAAACACTATAATATTGTATAAATTTGTTATGTCAATAAAGCCAAGAAGATTCTAATTTGTAGTATATAGTCTAAAATATTTTGTTAATTGGCTTAGTTACACTAACTGGGGTTCTCAGAACTATTTGAACATTAGCGAAACCCAATGACACATTTTAATTTTGCAATTTTGAATGTAATAACAACAGGTCATAAAAGATTTTATGTAGCAGACATGAAGTATAAAATATGACTTATAAAAGGCTAGGATCAGTGCCATATGCCAAGGTTGACACCTGAACACCAAGAAGATCCAAATGGCAGTACAGGAATGATAATCCCCGGGTGGTCTCCGTGGGTTGTTGTTGACTGTCTTGTGTCGGTAAATGCAAAGTCCACAATCATGCCAAAAATCACATTTCAGAAGCATTGTCTCACATGCATTTCCAGTCAAATTAGTAATACGCTTTCATTACGCCTTGTAATAAAAACAAAAAACAATATAACAACACATTTCCATTTACCTTGAGCACAAAATAAACATAGCCGCTAGACAGTTGTCATTGTTAGACCCCCCAAGGCTGCCGAGTCGTTATATACATTGTACGCTTTATACAGTATCACTAACCTCAATGTCTTTATAGTTTAACAGAATTAGTATACCACTACTATGAACTAAAAGCACATAAATTGTATTGATCATTAAACTCTGCAGTGTACGGAGGCTGATTTAGGACATTAAAAAAACCCATCTAAGTGGAGCGCTCGAGATAATACAATCGAATACGTCTCAACCGTATAATTTCAAGCTGTATAATTCTGTGCATTATTTAATGATAAACTTGTAGAACAAAGATATTCATTTGTTCGTTTTTACAGCACATCCAAAGCTGCAGTGACGGAGCGGATATCCTCCCCCCCCCCCCAATACCATGTGCGTTTAAAAAATATCACGTTCGCTGCTATAATGACCTTTTACTTATTGCGTGTAAGGAATTTGCCAGCGTCACGCAATGATACCTTCTTTGTCTGGCGCCTATGATTGACCTAATAACTGCCAGACAAAGTTCATCCACGTTAAATTATACGGGTGGTGCGAAAAAATTGGGATTTTTGAAAGAATTTGATTGTAAATTATTGTAATTTAGCTAGGCAAAGCAATAAATCTCTGAAGATTCTCAACTTTTCAAAGATTTCATTTTTTTTTCTCCCAGGTTTACCTAAATTTCGTTTCATCTTATATGGCCGAGTTCTTAAATTTGTGCGTTACCCTTTCAATGATGTCCGCCAAGTCGGTTAGAAGACGGAGACGTATTTTTTAACAGCGTGTTGTGTCGCTCATACTGACTCTAGCCAGGTAAGCAAGGTCTTATTTTCTCCCTAAGATGTTCATTTATATTGTTCAGGCGTTCACAGGGACTGACACGCGACCGGTTAGCAGTAAAAAGTTGCCCAGTAAAATTGACTAGGAAGCGATTAGATTTTCGACAAGGATTCAATAGGACAGTTCCTGAACGTACAGGCCGAGTGTAATGAGACCTACGTTCAGAGCTGAACTACTACTTTTCATGATTGCAGATTAAGTGGAGTTCTAGGTGATATGGGTGGTCTATGTGCCTATTGTGACCCCGAGTTTCGTGACTGTATTATAGCACGCAAAGCTACACTGAAATCGCTACCATTCAGAAAATTTATGAAACAGGGTAGATAATGAATGAAATTTAAACCATTCAAATTTAGAAGCATAATTTGCTGGACGTATAGTATTAAGTGGACAAAGACATGGTTATAGTAATATATTCTGTTTTGGAGAATTTACATTAATCTTTGAATTGATTTACTTACACTATACTGGGCTGTAATAAAACCGCACTACTGATTTGACAGGCGAAATATAATGCAGGCGAGACATAATACAGCATAAATATGACATTTGGCATGATAGTAGACTGGACATAATATACCAACACCAGAAAATCAACAACAATCCAATAATTTTACTTTACAGTGAGACTTAAGTGCAGCGGATAAAGGTAATTGGCGACAAACAGTTTGAACCCTGGTGAACCAACAATGACACCCCTCACGATACGAGGAGCCGGTAGATGAGGCCGGTAGCACTGCCATTTTTGACCATACAATTAGTCAAGATGGGGTTAGCGCCGGTGCGGGGTCCAGCCTTGTTTATAATGTTTTGTCTACGCATTGAAAAATGAAACGTGCGAATGGGATAAAGTCAATGTCACCTTCTTCGTTTATCGATGTTTTTTTTTTTTTTTTTTTGGGGTGTCCTCTTATCTGTTTTTTAGGCCCACGTCGTCCCTGTGTTGAGGTCTGATAATTAGTACGCGTTGCTGTACGTGCCTTGGTCGATCAAAAATGGGCCGTCTCTGTTGGAAACGATTGATCAGTCTAGGGATGGTAGCGTTATGGCATCAATCATAATTGATCAGAACTGTAGGTGCTATGTCAACATTCGCATTCTATCTATTTTCTCTTTGAGAGAATTAACCTGTGATTGTGAAAACCTCATTCTCATGCGTTGACATGATCTGAATTGCAAGATTAAAATGCATCTCTCAGGGAGTCTTACAATCACGATCTATAAACGCGGTGCCAATATATATTATATATACGTACATTCAGAGTTCAAATACACACGACTTCCAGTTAATGGCCTGTTCAAAAGTACAACACACCTTGTTATCTAGGCAAATTAATCAAATGAAAGACGGGTACGTCCACTCGAGACTAACTAGGACATTCCAGGACTAACATCTGGTTCAGTTTGATTTCTTTTACAGTAGGGGTAGGGAGAAACCGAGGTTTTCAAACCCACTAGGTTGGACCGGGGTCCCTACTCCTCCCCATACAAGCAAGAGGTCGAATCGAATATTTTCTCATGGCACACAATGGACTTCTATATGAAACGTATGTAAGCTGTCGAGAGCGAAGTATCAAGCATACATTATGATCCACTATAACACCCATCCGTGCCACCTTCTCCACTACAAAACGGAAGGGAATTAAAGAGAGGGAAAATGTTTGCCAGCGTCACGCAATAATACCTTCTTTGTTGGCGCCTATGATTGACCTAATAACTGCCAGACAAAGTTCATCCACGTTAAATTATACGGGTGAAAGTGAAGAATCAGACTGCTCTACTGATTTTGAGTATTCTAGTGATTCAATATTATGAGGATGGGTAAGACAAATTTGTGATCATCAGATATATTTTAGAAACATTTACTTTCAACAATAGAGGTGTATATAATTGACTAGAGTGTATGGTGGTCACGCGCCGACTATGGAGCTTGGCCGCCGTTTTACAACCAGGAAGATTTAGCCCACGTCGCCATATACCAATATGCCAGAGAATTGTTGTTGTTTCGGTTATTTCAATGTCAGGCAAAAAGGGAGTGGATTATGATTTCAGAAGTAAGTAAGTTATAAGTGAAATAGTGATATAGTATAGTCATGATAATAGTGTAACATAATTTAATAAACACGGCGTGAAGATGTCGAACGTTCGAAGCCTTACAATGTCCGTGTGTTTAGCGAACTTTCAAATTAAGGTATACTTAATTATTATGGCAACTTCGTATTATATCTGCACACAACTGGTATTGTACGATCTGGCGGTTTTAAGTTACAGACATGCACTAACTGGTCAGTAGACCAGTAGCTTTGTTATCGGTTAGTTTTACTCCCCGGATTTAATTAATTAGGCCGACACTGTAACAGTAAATACCCCAAATAGTTCGGTTGCTGAAAGGGGGGGGGGGGGGTCGCCAACCGAGCTGTGAATTTATGAGACCAAGTTTTTCTAGACCAGTTTTTTGCGTAGATTCCGAATCTGGGTGGTGATCAGGCGTTTGAGGAGGCGTTTTCGAGATTTAGGGGGTCAAATGTCTACAATGGGGGGTGGGGGGATGTCATTATGTTGACATAATATATTAATAAAACATAAATTTCTAGGACTGCCCATCTATAAATAAGTG